GATGAGATAACTAATCTACTTTTGGCAATCTGCAAAAATTCTTCATTTCTTATATACTTCTTGTTACTTTGGCGTCTTGTTAGTTGTTACAGATAAGAGTCAGAGCTAACCTTCAATCCAGGAACATAATCACCACGCTTGTAGTAAGATGGACTCTTAGCAGCTCCCCACTCAGCAGTTCTCATTCCATCTAAAAAAAATCACATCCAATCCAAACATATATTAGAAACATAAAAGTGAAAACAAACAAACAAACAAAGAAGAATGAAAATGCTTACAATGATTTTTCTCACAGACCATAATTGCAGGTAAATCCCAAAGAGCAGATATATTCAAAGCTTCAAAAAGGAGTCCATAATTCACAGCACCATCACCATACATGGTGAACATCACAGCTTCATCTTTAGAATACTTCTGCGCGAAAGTAATACCACAGCCTAATGGAACCTGAGCACCGACAATCCCATGTCCACTGTAGAACGACGATTCCTTTTTGTATAAATGCATCGATCCACCTTTCCCTTTAGAGCAACCATCTTGTCTCTCCATCAGCTCTGAGAAAACCTCGTGGAGCGAACCGCCATGACCTATAGCTCAGCTTCCTAGCCATCGTAGAGATGGCAAAACCCACGGATTAGCTTTGCTTTGTAAAGCGAATCGGCTGCGATTTCTATCCGCAGGTAAGAAGCTCTTGGCTAGTCGAATCGACGGAGGGAGACGATGGGTCACGTAAGTGAGCAGTAAAAGTAGGCGAGGTCTTGATCGTAATCGGTGTGGTATCCGTTGAGATGAAAAGGCTGAAGGCGGCCGAGAGGGGACGGGAGATTCCGTTGGATCGCGACGAAAGGCGTAATAGAGAATCAATAGCTGGAATGCCCTTCTAGCTTGAAACGAGATCGCATATGCCCCCGTTATAACGTATAATTTATTAAACATTTTATTTAAATCGAAAAAGTGGTTAATTACATGTTGAACCTCTTCAAATTGAAAGATTTACAGATCCAACCAATCATATGCAAATGACTTTGGATATTGGTCTGACCCGATTTGCAATTATAACCCACGAAATCCATAACCCACCTACAAACATAAACCGTTTCACCGTTTCAACATAACTCGATTTAAGAAGACATCGATTCGTCTTTCTCTTCTGTTCTCCGTCACGAACAAAATAAAAATTAACAGTTCTGGTTACTAAAAACTCCAAAGAGAAACACAGAAAATCGGATACTGCATATCGATAACTCCACGAAATTGCCGGCCAATACTTCCATATCACTCGTCCACCCGAGAAAAGGTAAGTTAAAAATCAAATGCAATTTTTGAAATCGATTTCAAATTTCAAAATCGAATGGAAATTTTGAAATTGAATAGTTTTAGTGTAGTGGGGCTTAACGAATGGACTTATTGTGTAGGAGATACAATGGCTCCATCAAAAAAGAGGATGGCCCGAACTAGAAATGCCTCAGAAGTTGAAATGGGGCAGGGAAGCAAGCGTAGTCGAAGAGAAGAAGTGATCGTGAAAAGGAGCAGCAGTCTTGCCGTGATGAACTCCGATGATGCGCTATCAACGTTATGTGGTTCGGTTTTGGCTTGAAAAAAATAGGTAGTACTTGGTTATACTATGTGTATATTGGTCCTAGTATTCTCAAAACAAATAGTAACACTGGGTAAAACTTGAATGTATTGCAGGATGAAACAGAGCCAATGCAACCAATGCGAATGTACTTTCAACCGAGTGAGTACAAGAAACAAGTCAAGGTATCAACCAGATGTTACATCCACCATGCGGTGAACAACATCAATGGTCTGAATCTTACGGCTTCAGAGAAGAATTGGTTTCTTAACCACCCTCAATTCAAGCACTTCTTCCATATGCATGATGACTATAACCACAAAGTTATGGGAATGTAGATGCTCTTGCTTCGAACAGCGGAAGTTGAGAAGCGAAGGGAAGCTTGGTTCGTTGTTAATGGAGTCCCCATCAGATATTCTCTCAGAGAACACGCTCTGATATCTGGGTTAGATTGTCAAAGCTATCTGGAAAACTTCATGCAACTGGGGGGTATGAAATTCGCAGAAAGGCAATTTGGCCAAGGAGCAACAATAACATATGCAAAAATTAAAGAGAAGCTACTGAAAATGAAGAAACCTAATCCAGATAGGTTGAGAATGTGTGTCCTCTACTTCCTCTGTAGCATCATTGTAAGCAAGGAGAAGACAGGAAAGGGAATACCATCTGTTGAGAAGTTTTTTATTAGAGCTGTGGATGATCTCAACTCTGTCGATCATTTCCCTGGGGGAGATACTCCTTTGATCATAATTTGAGCGATATTCAGAAAGAGATGGATGACTACAAAGGAGTCATCGATAGAACATGCAAGTTTCCTAGCTTTTGTACTTCGTTGGAGGTAAGTATGAGATATGTATTCATAGTTGTTTTCATTTAATGTATTCCCTAACTTGCTAACAAAATGTGTCATGCGCAGTTGCTAGCGTTTGAGGCGATTTCAAAGTTGAAAAATAGATTCCGGGAAATGCATGCAGGCGCACATAAAAGCTGTCCTCGGATGTGTAAAACCAAGTTTAAGCGATATGCTTTGAAAGGATTTCCTCTTTCAGAAATTTATAAAGAACTTGGTACAACTAAGGTTAGAAATCATAGTGTAGATATCTTTTGAATGTCCATTAATTAGGTTTGTAAATCTAAACTTGTTTGTTTTTATACACAGGACATTCAAAGCGTCCTGCTGGCTTCTGATGAGGAAGAATCTATGCTTAAGGAAATCATAGATGGGGAAGACGAAGATGTGCACGATGTTGTTGTTGAAAGTTGGATGAAGCTTATCAATCAAGGCAAATCTGTTTGTTTTAAAGAGATGTTCGATAAAGATTTGGTGTCCCGGGAAGAAGAGAAGAGTGAGGAGGAAAATGCGACCCTCTATGTTCAGGATGAGGACAATGCGAACCTCCCTTCTCAGGCTGCTGCGGACGTACATGAGGAGAATTGGACTGTGCGGGAAAATGCGGCGCCAATCAGCATGGTAGTAAGGCTGCAACTAGCCATGAAAAAGGGATTTAAGGAAATCAATGGTAAATTTGCTGCATATGAGACAAGACTAGTTGCCGTGGAAGAGTATGTAAGGAACAGTTGGATGCAAGGAGATTGTATGAAGACCCTGTTGATTATAACTTTGATGGTGCCGGTTGTATACAAGGGGACAGCAGCCTGGTGGATCCTGCTGAGAAGGTAGCGTAGCACTTAACATTTTCAAATGTTAAAAGAAAAATGGCACACTAGGGAAAACTAAATAATATTTGATGCAGGGTGACGAAGAAAAAGACGGAGGGAAAGAAATGGAAGACACTGAGAAGGGAATGGAAGGAGAGAAAGGCGTAGAAGAAGGAGAGGAAGACACAAATAAGGTATGACTTGCCGGTGTTTTTGCTAAAAACTAAAACGTAAGAATAGGTAACATTAAGTTAAATTTGATGTTTTTGAAAGATCAAGTAGAAGAGAAGGATCAAGAAAAAGATACGGAAGGAGAAAAAGAAGGACATGTGGAAGCATCTGTGGCACCAATGGAGACCTAGAAAGCAGCAGTTGTGGCACCAATGGAGTCCCACAAAGTGACACATCAAGAGAAGGAAGAAGAAGAAGAAGAAGAAGAGAAGAAAGAAGAGGAGGAATGACAAGAGGAAGGAGAAGAAGAGAAGGAAGAAGAGGAAGAGAAGGATAAAGAGAAAGAAGATGAGGAGAAGGAAGAAGAGAAGGAAGACGAGGAAGAGAGGGAAAAAGAGAAAGACGATGAGGAGAAGGAAGCCGATGAGGAGAAGGAAGAATCTGAGGAGAAGGAAGAAGAGAAGAAAGAAGAGGAGGAAGAAGAAGACAAGGAAAAAGAGAAGGAAGATGAGGAGAAGGGAGAAGAGAAGAAAGAAGAGGAGGAAGAAGAAGAGAAGGAAAAGGAGAAGGAAGAAGGAGATGAAGAGAAGGAAGAAGAGAAAGAAGAGGAGGAAGAAGAAGAGAAGGAAAAGGAGAAGGAAGAAGGAGATGAAGAGAAGGAAGAAGAGAAAGATGTAGAGGAAGAACAAAGAGATCAAGAAAAAGAGAAGGAAGGACAGAAAGACGATGATAAGGGACTGGATGGAGAGAAAGAGATGGAAAAGGTATGACTTATAGTTTAATATGGTAAAACGAAAACATCAGACAAGTAATACTAGGGTTATCTTGATGTCTTTTGCAGTATCATATTGGTGGTCAGGAAGAACAAGAGAAAGAAGAACATGGTGAAACAGCATCAGAAGAAGAAAGAGGAGCGGAAGATGCGATTTCACTGAAGAAATGTTCCACTGTGGTGAAGAAAGGGGACAGAAAGGTGAAGCTCAGTAAGAGGAACACATCATATTCCTCACGTCAAAAGGTAATAATTGTTATTATGAAATTTCAAAGAGGAATACTTGGTAATACTTTGGACTACTTGTGCCTGCAGGATTCCAGTGTGAAGGAACTAGGGAAGGAACAATCGCGAAAGAAGAAGAATGAAGACGTGAAAGTTCTTGGGAAGAGGGAACACAAACGAAATTCGAAGCTGGTGGATAGTTCTTACACCGAGGAAAAGAAAGAGAGGAAGAGGAACAATAAGAAGCAAAAAGGAGTGAACTGAAAGATGTTTGTGTTGACATTAGGTTTTTGGAATATGTTTGGTATTTGGATGGATTTTTAGTACAGGTAATATTAGGTGAAACTATGTTGTCTAAACTTAAGTTTGCTTGAAGCATGTTTAATTATAATTTCGAAACTTAGACTAAGAGAAATAAGTCTGCTTAATCAGAACTGAAACTAAGAGTTTTACAATTTAGTGAATACAACTGAAGTATGAAAAATGTAAACATAAAACCAACATCATTCTGAATACATTAGATAAAGCCAAATATTATACATCATAATGCTAAGTCTTTTAAACATGGCTACAAGGTCTTCAAACATAGAGTTACTACATCTAATTAATCATCATAATAGTGAGAGAAATGATCATCACAACGACTGCACCAAGAGCAATCACCAACTTGGAAATCTTCTCTTCGGTCTGAGTCACCTTCTGCATGAGTTGATCAATTTCGGCTTTTGCCATATAGAAATTGTCAATATAGATGAATAGCTCTATCTTCTCTAATACTGCTTCATAATCGTTATGAATGAGAGTAAGCTTCTCCATGATTCTTTCGTCCAACCACTTCTAAATATGGCATTCTCCATCTCCTACATTTGGGCACGTGAAAAACCTCCTTCCCGGGTCCATTGTGGATCGACAAGTATCGATTATTGCTCGTGCTCCACAATAACATTGATTCATAATCCCATATTCTTTTACTGGGATTTCAATCCTTGCTAATCTTCTCCTAACACCACTTGAATCGCTACCACTATCACTTGAAGGTTGAGTATAGCTATGAATGTCCATCTACATAAAACAGCATAATCTCCATCAATAAACAACACAATCTTTCTCGATGGAACAAGACAATATTTGTTTATTCAAGTTGAACCAAGTATTACACAAGTTGAACCAAGTATTACACAATTGAAAACCAAGTTGAACAAAGTATTACACAATTGAAAACCCAGAAAACCTAGAAAAACCCAGAAAACCCAGAATTGATCAGAAACTAATTAGATGATACTAAACCCATGAAGGCAAACCAAAAAATCAAACGGAAAGCAATTCATAACCTTCAATCCAACGCGAACCCAGAAATCAAGACAACAATCAGGTTCATCATCCTAAACCCAGAAATCTGATCGAAAAGCATTATGCTCATACTCATGCTTCGACTTACCTAAAGAGAGAAGAGAGATCCGAACGAACTGGAGAGAAAGGCGAAAAGTAGAGAAAGTTCTCGGAGAGAGAAGAGAGAAAAAAAGAAATAAGACAAATTATTATTTCATACCGCTCACCAAAAATTAAAACTTAGTTTTTAACGAACTGCCGCTCTCCGAAAAAAAAGACCGCAAAAACTCGATATTTCAGACACGTGCACCAAACCTTGGTGTTTGTCATAGTGTTATCTAATAAACCAGTATTACTTACTTTCAAATAGTGTTACTTTTGAGGGCATTTAAGTTTTATTTAGTTTTACCTTAATTAAAATCATCAATTCGTAGTTTTCTCAATCATATTAGTCAAGTTTAGAACAGTGCAAGGCGTTTATGTATTAAAATGTATGAAATCATATTATATGAATATTTTGCAGTCTCAGATGGTTCATATTAACCAAGTGATCATCAATTTATAAGGTCTTTGATGAGTATAACTACCATAATGATATTGTAATATTTTTCTTCCAATTAAAATATCTTTCTCCTATTAAAGTGGTACTTATATGCTGTAATAGTATTGTTTCTTTTGAAATTTCTTCATTTCCCAATTTCCGTGTTTGTTTCTTTTAAAATCATAACTGAACTTAGTTTTACCATTACGAAAATCAGTGTTACCAAGTTTTACAAACAAATAGGTTTAAAGAAATACAAATCAATTCAAAATCAGTATTACCAAGTTCTACAAACAGATATGTTCAAAAAAAAAGCAAAGAAATGCAAACACAAAGAGATCAATCCTGGGAACAGCCATGAACAGCCATGAACGCAAGTTTTACTATTACGAAAGTCAGTATTACCTAGTTCTACAAACAGATATGTTTAAAAAAAACAAAGAAATGCAAACACAGAGAGACCAATCCCAATCCGAGAACAGCCATGAACGCAAGTTTAAACCTGCCACTATTTTATTACTCGTTTTTGCCCAAAATTCTCCAACGGATTGGAACCTCTTCTCTTTGTTTCTTTCCTTCTTTTTGACGTAGTCCGGAGGTAAGATCTGCAATTTTTTAATTTCCTCAGGAATACTCCATTCAGACCTAGCTGGCACGGGATATATGGTCCTGTAATATGCCAATGCCCACTGCTCTATCAAATAATAAGGTGAGCACAAATCATGAAAATGGATATCTCTTCCTCTATTTTCACCCTTCATGTATTCTACAACAGCAGCTATTACGTGCTCACAAGGATACCTATCAATATCGAAACACCTACAAGTGCAACTTTTCCTTAGAAAGTTCACCACATAAGTCTTGCCATCACTTCCATTGACACGATATTCAAGCTCAAATGTGTTAAGCTCAACCACAGGTAAGGAGGACGCAGTCTTGCATCTTTTGTACACTAAGTTCTCCACATAAGGCACCAGCTTCTGTGTGATCCATCCACCAGCTACATCCTTTCTATACTTGTTAAACCATTCAGCCATTTTTTTAATTATCGTATCAATCAAAGCTAATAAAGGGTACTTCCTCGCATCTTTAAAAACGTTGTTCATAGATTCACCTATATTGCTGGTGTCTATTTTGTACCTTTGACCTGGAAAATAACACCTCGCCCATTTTTCCACCTCACAACTTTCTTGCAGATAGGCAGCCGCAACAGGATATCTCCTACAGTATTCATCGTAAATATGATGGAACTCAACCACCGTATAAATTTTGCCAATATCGATGAATCTAGCTGAAAGTACGTCTTTGTTGACGTTTGTAGCTTTAGTCCTCACATTTTGTGCCAAATGCCATAGACAATACCCGTGCTCAGCTAACGGGTACACGGAACGTATTGCCTTGATGAGGCTTTGATTTCTGTCAGTAGTAAATACCAGTTCAGGAGAATCAGGTATAACTGTTTTCAGCATATTGAAAAACCAACTCCAACTTGCATCTTTTTCACCATCGAGTACACCAAAAGCAATGGGATAATGGTGGTGATTAGGATCCTGAGCTGTGACAAAAATTAGGACACCTTTATATACAGTCTTCAGAAAAGTTGCATCCACAACTATGACTTTCCTCATCGCCTGAAACCCTTCAATACTAGCTCCTAAAGCAACGAAAAGGTACTTGAACTTTTTCGCTTCATCCACCATCACACTTGTTTTTGTACCAGGATTCACCTTCTCTAGCATGTGCATATAATTGTACAACAGCCCATAACTTTCTTCAGCATTACCACGCACATCTCTAATAGCTTGCTGTTTTCCTCTCAATGCTATGGAGTATGACACTTTCACCCCCATTCTTCCCTGAACGAGATTGATTAGGCTTTTAGGAGTTGGGGTGTTAAATTGTCCTTGATAATCATCATGCAAAACAGAAGCAACAAGACCTGGTGTTCCTTTCTTTTTATAGCTACTTGTACTGGCAGTAGCGCGAGAGCATGTATGCATCTTTGTGTATACTCTAACAGAGAAAATATCTGAATTGCCAACCTTTGCAACTCGTAAATGCCATGTACAACCTTCTTGACAGCATTTGAGCACCAATCGTGTCCTATCAGACTTCACTACACCGAATACAAAACAATTCTGAAATGCACCTTTATCAACCAAATCTTGCACAACATGCTTACTCCCAAATTCTTGACCTACTTGCAAACTCTAACCGTCTTCCCATGCTTCTATAAACTGATTATCTTGTGAAAGATCTGCAGGATCAACATGTTCCTCATTCATGAAATCAGTTCCAACATCCTCATGGTCAGGTGATACTTTCTCACTCATGACGATGTCTTCCAACGGCTCTTGTTGTTCTACTGGTTCTACATAATGTACAATGGCACCAGCATTTACTACATTAACAGTTGAATGCAACTCTGAATAATTCATACCAAATGAACTTCCTCCACCCACTCTAGAGAGTTGCTCCATTCGCCGATCTATTCCCAAATCTTTGATGACCTCAGCATGCAAAACACTTTTACATTGCTCTTCATCCATGGAAGTCAGATAAGAATACACATCTTCATCATTGAAATCAGTGATGCTCTCGGTGGTTTGCATATCAAAGGAAGGAAGCTCAATTGTAGTTTAACTGTACGTTCATCTACTCCAATCTTCTTGCATATCCTACTATGTAACACCGAGTAACTAATCTCCTCAATACATGTCTTAAACGTTAAAGCGTAGACATAACCTACAGAATTCCATATATCCTTAGCTCCGGTCTTTGAACAACTTCCTTCGTAATCGAAATATAAGTTTACGATCTTGCTCATTATGGCCTTCAAAGTAATATAAAATATCAGTTCTCAACATCAATCAGTAATACCAAATAGTACCCAGTTAGGCTTTTTTAAAATAACAATTTCTTTCTGAACCACTTCTAATCTACATGCTATTCAGAAATAATAACCCATTGCTAGTTTTAACACACCCATAAACAACAATTTCCAATTTCTCTCAGTAATACAAGGTCTATCCAGTTCTACCTTCGTACTTGTAAAACTAATTTTACCAAGTGTTTCCTTAATACTCAGTAATACCAGTTGTAGGTTTACCATCGTACTCAGTAATACCAGTTCTACCCAGTTCTTCTATCTCTGATGATTTCGATTTCAGGTGGATTCTCTCCTTATAATCTATTTACGAATCTCTATGATTCAGCTATTAATATCCATTTGTTACCAATGCATGGTCCTACTCGACGCATACAACTTAGTTATAAACCCAGATGTGCATACCAAATTCAAATGCATTCAATATCAAACCAAATTCAATTCATTTTTTTTATTTTCATACACAACAGCAAATTGATTTCTATACATGTAAACGTCTTCTCTACTTAATTTCGACTTCAAAGATGCAAAGTTATGTCAGAAACGCACCTGTATTCCCTGCAATTCAAAACCCAAAGTAAGCTGCAATGGAGATTGAGGAGAGTGAGCTCGAAGGTGATGATGTCGCGAAGAAGAATGAAGCAGAAATCGGATCTGTTTTCTGATTAGTCCAAATTGCTTATTTTTCATTGGTCAGTTTTGTTATTTTTTAATATATTTTTTAATATGTGTAAGGGTCAAAATTGGGTTAGATAGTAAGGATAGTATAGGAATTTCATCTTTCATTAAAACAAAGAAGGGTATGTAGATTGATGAAGGGGTATTTTGTTTCTTCCTTCACCAATAGGGGCATTCTAACCACTTGTCTGAGAGCCATCTCAACCGTTGATTTGAGAAGGTTTTTACTGGCGAATCTATTGAAAACTTCACGCAGGAACCGAAAAACAAAAACAAAAGCGGATATTAGTGCAGAAGAGAAAGAGGATGCGAATCAAATTTACAAGCAGATTTGCTACCGATTACTGAATTTAAGATACTCTTAAAGATGAAGTTGGAACGATAGATTGTTAAAAGTGGACCTTAATCTCAAATGCCCCTACGTACACTCTGAAAATCTGATATGCCCCTTCTTATAAATTTCTTTTTCTTTTTGATTTATATTTTAAACGAAAACGTGTGAAAAGACGACGAAGGGTATCCGAAATCCTCTAAATTACAAATCAACCAAATAATAGCTATTGGGTTTTGACCCAAACCAAAATCTAAATCCGGCACAAACCTAAATCTAAATATGGCCCAAACCTATATCTAAATCCGGCCCAAACCCAAATAAAAAACAACTTACAAATCCTTTAATTTTTTGATCAAACCGCTAACTTTTCCAACTTTTCATCTTCTCCGAGAACCCAAACCACCGATCAAAAATCCGATCAAATCCCTAATTTATCGATCTCATGGCACCGCATAGGAAAGGGGTTCGGTTGAGAACACCTTCGCCGGATCATACTTCATCGCCGCCGCCATCGAGTTCAAATCTGCCGGTAAAGAAGCAAACAGAGGTGGAGAAGCGTCTTGCGGCACCGCGAGGAAAAGAGAAGAAGTCGAGGAAGAAATCAATATCAAAAGACGGAACTTCTAGTGCTTCGCCTCCGTCTCCGACGGGTCCGGTGACTGAAGGAGAAGAAGAAAATCTGCTGCCGTCAAGTTTAAATCCGCCAGCAAAGAAGAAAAGAAAGGGGGAGAAGCGTCCGGAGGCACCGCGAGGAAAAGAGAAGAAGTCGCGGAAGAAATCAAAGTCCAGTGCTCCGCCTCCGGTGGCTCTGGTGACTGAACCAGCAGAAGACAGTCTTCCTCTGGTGACTGAACGAGAAGAAGAAACTTTTGTGGCTCTGACGGTGCAACCGGTAACCGGCCCGCCTCCGATTCCAGAAACGGCAATCGGTTCATCGTCGCAACCACCACCACTGGTAAACCCTAAATTTTGTTGTACAATGGCTAGTATAATTGGGTCCAACTAGTCCGACTAGTATGAGTAGTTCAACTAGAACGGTTATTATAACTAGTCTAATTAGTTCAACTAGTATAATTGGATTGCATGAAATGTCGAGTCTGAGTAGTATGAGTAGATCAACTAGTCTGAATAGTATGACTAGATTGTAGTCATACTAATCATACTAGTCGTACTAGTTTGACAGTAGTTGGCCTAGTAATCGTGCTAGTCGTACTAGTTTGACAGTAGTTGGCCTAGTAAATGTACTAGTCGTACTAGTTTGAAAGTAGTTGGCCTAGTAATCGTAATAGTTGGCCTAGTTTGACAGTAGTTGGCCTAGTAATCGTACTAGTCGTACTAGTTTGACAGCAGTATACTAAATCAGTTTCCTTATTTTTGCAGCATGATGATGATGATGTAGAAGAACCAATGCGGCCTCTCGGATATTTCTTCAGTCCCACCGAATATCGAAAGGGATGTAAGCTAAGTACCAAATGCTTGCAACATCAATTTAAGGAGGAAATATTTCCAACTTTGGAAGAGGATGAGAAGAGTTGGTTTCTGAACCACCCGCAGTTCAAGCACTTATTTCACATGAAGACTTATACAACGAGAAAGGTGATGGGGTTGTGGATGTTGCCTCTACGCACGGTACAAACGGAGAAGGGTAGACAGGCTTGGTTTGTGGCAAATGGAGTGCCCGTTAGATACTCCATTAGAGAGCATGCTCTCCTCTCGGGACTGTACTGCCACGAGTACCCATCCAATTACCCGAAGTTAGGTGGCATGAGGTTTGTTAAGAACCATTTTAAAGACGAAAAAATTACAGCTGAAGTTGTGCTAAAAGCACTTCAGGGGATGAGGTATAATGACACTGGGAATCGGCTAAAGATGGATGTCATGTACTTCTTGGCGACAGTGATAAGAGGGAGATCGAAGCATGGAGTAGCCATAGAGCCTTTCATTTTGAGGATGGTTGATAGTCTCGAGTTGTGTGAGACAATCCCGTGGGGGCGGTTTACTTTTGATGACAACATCAAAGAGATTTATCATATGGGGAAGCATTTCAAAGGATTGATCCCAGAGAAAGCGAGTTGGACGTTTACTGGGTTCCTCAACCCTTTGGAAGTAAGTCGTATTTCCTTATGAGTAATAGTATTAATAGTATGACTAGGTCAACTAGTCCGACTGTTCTAATTAAATGTGCAAATTTTTCGAATTCATAGTATGACTAGGTCAACTAGTCTGAATAGTACAACTTGTCTGACTGTTCTAATTATATGTGCAGATTTTGCGTATTCATAGTAGCCAACTAGTCTGAATAGTACAACTAGTCTGGCTGTTCTAATTATATGTGCAGATTTTTCGTATTCATAGTATGACTTGGTCAACTAGTCTGAATAGTACAACTAGTCTGACTGTTCTAATTATATGTGCATATTTTTTGTATTCATAGTATGACTAGGTCAACTAGTCCTAATAGTATAACTAGTCTGACTGTTCTAATTATATGTGCATATTTTTTGCATTAATAGTATGATTAGGTCAACTAGTCCGAATAGTACAACTAGTCTAACTGGTCTATTATATATGTGCAGATTTTGGCATTTGAATGTATTCCAACCCTAAAGACACAATTTCGGGTGAAAGTAAAAAATGTAGAAGATGATTGTCCAAGAATGTGCAAATGGGAGTTCACGCAGACTGGCACAACTAAATATTCGTTGGATTCAATATATGAGCATCTTGGAGATACAAAGGAATTTTACTTTTTGTTATACAAACATATTCGTTGGGTTCAATTGTGGTTTAATTTCTTTTTCGTTATACTTCAGGACATTACTAGTATTTTGACTGCTGAGGGTGAGGAAGTAGATCTCATAGAGAGAGTCATGGAAGAGACACAATGGCAGGACTCTAAACTGAAGGATGATTCAGATGTATCTGACCCTATTGTTGATGGGTGGAACAAGTTTATAATCCGCCAACAAGGGAAGATATTGTGGGAGGATGTCTTCATGGCCGATGTACAATCCCGAGTTGTCCAAAAATTATATGTCCAAGAAGAAGATTTCCAAAACGAAAGTGCGGCAATAGGTGAGCCAGCTGAACAAGAACCTGCAGCTGTGATTGAGCCAATAGCCGAGCAAATGAAAAGAATGATGAACTTAATGGAAGAAAGGTTCAAGGAAATTAAAGACATAATTCAGGGTTTGGATACAAGATTGGTAGCTGTGGAGAGCTTCGTGGAAGAGCAAAGAAATCCTCCAGATTTTGAGTATGGTGGATACAATGATTTTGGTGAGAAACAATATTTGAGAATTTTTTTTGTTTTGAATATTGAAGTTTATTTGACTCTTTTTTTTTTATGTCACAGAGAAAACGGCTGAAGAGAGGGAGATGGCAGAGGCTGCTGCGGCTGCAGAGAGGGGGATGGCGGAGAGAGCCGCGACCGAAGAGAAGGAGAAAGTGGAGAGAGCCGCGACTGAAGAGAAGGAGAAGGTGGAGAAGGAGAAGGCTGAGGCTGAGGCTGCGGCGACTGCGGAGAAGGCTGAGGCTGAGGCTGCGGCGGCTGCGGCTGCGGAGAAGGCTGAGGCTAAGGCTGCGGCAGCTGCGGAGAAGGAGAAGGTTAAGGCTGAGGCTGCGGCAGCTGCAGAGACGGAGAAGGCTGAGGCTGAGGCTGCAGCGGCTGCGGAGAAGGCTGAGGCTGCGGCAGCTGCGGAGAAGGAGACGGCTGAGGCTGCGGAGATGATGGAGGCTGCGGAGACCGTGGAGACTGTGGCGGCTGAGGCTAGAGCAGTTGTGGAGATAGTGTCAGCGGCTGTGGAGAAGGCTATGGAGAAGGCTCTAGCTGGTAAGTGGAGATTTATTTTCCTTAATGAGCCAAACCATTGGAGATTTATTTTTGATATAATGAGTTTCATCGATTTTTGTTTGTTTTTGTTAGGTGGATTTGATGTGGATACAGTCCAAACTCCTACGAAGATGAAAATCCACAAATTACCTAGTCTTCAAGCCCAAGCAGCAAAGAAATTAATTAAGAAGCTGAAGAAGAGTAAGACTCTCAAGCCAAAAAGGAAGTTGACTCGTTCACGTTTGGTGAATGATTGTTATTAAGTAACTTAGGCCTTTGAACTTATGTTATTTTTGCTATGTTAGAATTTGTCTTTGTGTTTTTCAGGATTTGGACATATATATTTAATGCATGTCTTTTTTTATGTGTTAAATTAAACGGTACAATTAACAAAACTAGACCAACTAGAACTGAATTTTACAAACGTGTGGCAGCAAAAAAAACGTGTGCATGCAAAAAAACGTGTGGCAGGAAGTTTAAAATGTAGTTAAAATGGATAAAATATGAAGTCACGTGCGCCGACAAAAGAGGAAATGAATATCTTTGCAAACTTGCGCCGTCAAAACAAAAATTGAATCCAGTTTTTTTATAACATAGTTGTACCCAGTTTTTAGTTGTACCTAAAGAGGTAATTTTGTAAAATTTTGTAATCAGTAGTACCATACCCTAAATTAAACATTTTTAGTTGTACTTGTGAAATTTAGTAAATAAACTACATTTAACAGATTCTAATGCTATAACTAGTATAAAAATACAAACTTTCATGGTTTTCATGTTTGTGGTGGGCGTTCGGATAACCCGGACCCGATCGGGTCGATTTTTTTGGATATTGGGTTTTCGGGTATAGAGCTGAAGACCCTAATCGGGTATTTCTAATTTTCGGATCGGGTTCGGGTCGGTTCTTACATTATATATAAAAACCGATATTGATCCAAAAATTTCGGTTACAAACGGGTCCGGTTCGGTTCTCGAATGTTTCAGTTATATGTATCCGAATTGTAACCAAACTTGCTCAAAAATATCCGAAGTACACAAATAATATCCAAAATCTAAGAAAATGAATGGTCAAAATAAACACTAAAATCAGTATCAAAATATGATTCAACCATTTATACAACCACATAAAAAACCATGAAAGAAAAAAAAAATCCCAAATAAGAGTTTTAAAAATCCAAATAAAACTCAAAGTTCAAATAGAATGTGAAAAAGTTATTAAAGTTTGCAAATAAAGAATTCCAAAGCACCTTCTTCATTTTTCTGTAACATCAAAATTATATTACATCAGTAGTAATAATAAGCAAACTATGAATGTAATATGACAAAAACTGATAAAATAATAGAAAAAAAAACCATTTGTTACCTTACACCCAATTTGTCAAATGATTCACTTCATTCTTCTCTTATTATTGGAGTGTCATACTCTGAAAAAGTAAAGAGAACCAGATTAGTAAGACACTAAAAAATGATTTAAAATAGAAAATAGTAGAAAAAAAAATATTACCTCTCTTAAGCTTGTCTTCATATTCAAATTCTTCCATGATTTGTTCCTTTGTAACCACTATTGATTCATTAAACCGAATTTCTGCTTTCAACCACTGCTCTGTGCACATCAAAACCTCAATCATATAATGAGTTAGACAACTCTTATAAGGAGTGATGATCCGACCACTAGTGCTAAAAGCACTCTCGGATGCCACAGATGACACTTGCATTGCAAGTAAATCCCGAGCCATTTCTGCTAAAACAGGAAATTTTCTAGTGTTCACCTTCCAATAAGAGAGTACATCATACTATGTCCCTTTCATAGCTGAACCTTTCACAACACTCTCCTTCAAATATATCTCTAATTCATCACTGTCTTGGACTCCTATATCATCAACCATGTCATTATACATGAAGTCCATCCTTTCATACCCTGAATCATCATCCACCAATACCAATTTCTCTTGTGATTGTTGTGACTATGACTGTGATGTTGTTGGAGTAGACTGAGAAGAAATCGGATTTGGCTCTTTGCCAAAACGAGATTTGTACTCGTCAAACATGCCACGCAGAACTTTAGACACTGCTTCACTCATCTCTTTACCCAATACTATCTACCCCATAGAGTTGCTCCCAACACATCTTAGCAAACTTCATCTTCTTCCTAGGATCAAAGATTGTCACTAAAATCAACATCTTATTGATTCCCTTCATTCCTTCCCAGTACTTATCAAACTTAAGAAACATTTCCTCAGCCTGCTCCCTTAATTCCGAATCAGGACTATTCATCTTATTCAGAAGATTTTTTTCTATAGTCACTATCTCACCATAACACTTGAAGGAGTTCAGAGAACTAGAAGCTGAGACAACCAGTGTTGAGTTATAAAAGATGATCAAGAATTTTTCTAACCTTTCAACAACACTCCAATCAGTTCTAGTAGCAGGTCTGATCCTCTTTACCCCATTCTGAAACTCCATGAAGTAATCATTGTACAGCTTGTCTTATGTCTCCATCTTCTGGAATGCTACCTTGAACTTAATAGCCTTATTCAACATGGTAAATATCAAATTCCAACGTGTTGTTACATCCAACGGTAAACTGCCTCTCGTCATCTTTCCTGAATCCACTCTCAATTCAAATGACTTCAACCTAGGTGTAGATGATCTAACATATGTAATCCCATTACACATAATAGTTACACTATCATCTGCTTCAGCCAAACCATTTTTCACAAGCAAGTTAATGACTTCAACCTAGGTAAACTGCCTCTCGTCATCTTTCCTGAATCCACTCTCAATTCAAATGACTTCAACCTAGGTGTAGATGATCTAACATATGTAATCCCATTGCACACAGCAGTTACACTATCATCTGCTTCAGCCAAACCATTTTTCACAATCAAGTTAATGATATGGACACAACATCTGACATGCATATAACTTCCATCTAACACAAAAGCATCATTAGATTGTTCTTCGAAACTAGCGTGAAACCTCCTTAGAGCTGAACTATTGGCAGTTGCCTTGTCAACAGTAAAGGTAAAGACCTTCTCTATACCCCAATCTGCTAAACATTCTAGAAGTACATTTGAGATTGTGGTACCTTTATGATCATCGACATTCTTGAACCCAATAATGAGCTTCTGCAATTTCCAATACTCATCAATTTAATGACATGTGATGACCATGTAACTTGCACATGTTAAAACAAATCAAATAATACATCAGAATCATCAAAATAGAACAGGAAAATCATAGCAAACACAAACTTATAGACTCGCCAAGTAAAAGTAATGCAACCTTAAAAGGCAGCAACAAATAAATAAAAAATGGAACAAAAATTTTAAAATCTAATCTAACCAAGAAACTAAAACTTAAGAGTGACCTTTCACAAGAGCTAACACCTTAATATGAAAATGATAATTCAAATCCATCACCTTATTATATATACATATATATATATATATACATGCATTCATAGGATAGGAAACAAGTTAATTAGTTTAAAAAAAATAAACTAAGTTAAGACTTGCAAGTTTATAACTTATACACTCGGAATGTCTTGGCAAACTAAATTATATAGACTTAAACAAAAGAATATCTCAAACGATCATAAGTTTCACAATCGCAAACTTAAAGACTTGCAAGTTATAGACAAACTTATAAACACAAACACAAGAAGATCATAAGTTCAAAGAATAAAGCTGAGAAAACTTCTCTTTATTAAATCACAAGTCTCACGATTCATAGATACAAACTGGTGATTCAAAAACAGGAAAGTAAATAAGCTTCAAACAAACTTAGAACTCGCTTACACAAACTGAACCAAATAAACTAAATGTGAAAAAAACGAGACCTGTTGGTTGACATGTCCATATGTCTGTTGTAAGAGAGACTCTTTGCCTCTTAGCTTGAAACCACTCTTTCATAGATTGTTTCCTCTGCACATACATCTCAACAATGTTTCTGGCAGTTGTTATTCTTGAATGAGGCTTGTAGAGTTACACCTTGCTACAAAAGTGTTTCCAAGCCATACTTTCAACAAACGAAAGTGGCAACTCTCCTATCACTATCATCTCGTCTGTAGCCTCTTTGAATATAGCCTCAGATACTTTGGAGCTCTTTGCATTTCCAGTCTCTTCATCAATAACATGCTGACTACCATCTTCACTTGCCAAGTACTGTTTGCAGATTGTCATGTGCTTTAAGAGGTTCGAAGTACCTGATTTTGTTGGGTATGAATAAACCTTCTTACAGTAGTTACATCTGCACTTGTCACGATCATCTTTCGTCCTTGTGAAGACCTTCCAAACATCAGACCTTGGTTCGAGTATCTTCTGTGGTGGCTGAGAAGAAGCTTGGTTTCCATCCGGCGCTTGCTTTCTTTTGTTTCGACCATCAGAAGGATCACGTTGAGTGTTCTCTTCTTCACCATCATGAGCATCATTTTGAGTTTTCTCTGGAATTGAAGATGAAGAAGAACCCATTTGTACATAGCAAATAGTGAATATTATCATCAACAAAAAAATAAGAAGAAGCTAAGTATCCTAAATATCATATATACCAAGCAAGTTTTGTATCAGATTTTACTCTATACGATATACCAAATCCATCGAGCTTTTCTCTTACTTTACAAACACAATGTTATGTTCCAAAGACAGTAAGATCAAAGACTTGCGAGCTTCAATAGAGTCAAGCTTTTTTTTATTCTTAATTCAGCGCTTTACAAACAAGATACTACAAACACTTAATAAGAATTGCAGTGAAGACAAGATACTATAAAGACAAGACTCTTCCATGTTTTACATCGAGAGGCTATGGCATAGATAGAAACACACGATTTATACACTCTATGCTCAATTGCTATAACTTAAAAACAGAGCATCAAACTTAAATAGCCACTTTAGTTAGAGAATTGATCGATCACTCTCGTATACACTCTATGCTCAATATCAGATGTTAATCGTGAAATAAAAGCTTCAAAAACTATCCCAGATGTTAATCGTGAATGTTAGTCCTTAATTCGGATGACTTTAAAAAGAATGAATCTCTTCTACAAACGAGATATAATGTAAAAATTGAGCATCATACATCAAACGCCACTTTGTTCTTTTTAGTCAATGGAGTAAGTATCATACATCAAACTTGAGTGTCGTAAATTCTCTTAACAAAATCAAACTCAATGATCTGTATTTTACAAAAACCAACCCAGTTTTCAAACTCAATGATGAACACAATCTCTGCTGCGAATTTGGGACTTAATGACCAACACAATCTATTGGCTGCTAATCAAACTCGAAAACAATCTTAAAGGCTACTAACTAAACTCAATGACGAAGCTAATCAAACTTAATGACAGAAACGATTTTTTGACTACACATACATCACAATCAGTTATGAAAATCAGTAAATCACAATCGAAAGCAGAAGAAGATGAAGAACGAAGAAGATGAAAGACTATTAAAAACTGGAAATCACAAAAAAAACGAAGAAGAAGATGTTGTACCTGAGATTGATTTCGCGATGTCTCAGAAGGAGGGGAAACAGAAGATTGGTGATTTAGGGTTCCAGCTTGAATTTGGCGATTAAGAAATTAGGATATTGGTTTGATCTGAGAATATCTCTAAGAGATTCAACGGGAAAGTCGAAGAAAGTGGACATCGTGATTTCCATAGTCGAAGCCTTCGACTCGTATAATTTCAGTTACTTCGGGTGTTCAATCGGATTTCGGGTATAACCAAACCGAACCCGGACCCGAACCATAACCAGCATAAGATCTAATCGGTTAATAAAGCAATACCGGGTCGGTTTGGTTCAGATTTATTCGGGTCGGTTTGGTTCGGATTTTCGGGTTTAGTTATATATGCCCACCCCTACTTAAAAGTATAAGGTAGATTGTGTAGACATCACATTTTCATGGATCAAACATTTTCATGAATCAAATTTATTTAACTATGAAATGTTCAAACATGTTTGCACATGTTCTATGGCCTATTTTATATAGAAATATGTTTATAAATACATTTCGAAATTGTGTTATTGACATTTTTGAAGAAAGCATAGCCGTACTGGTTTTTCCAGTTGGACTTGAGTACAACTAAAATGTAGTTGAACTAGTTGTACTTAAAACGAGTGGTACTAGTCGCACCAGTCGTACCAGACATATTAAACGCAGAATATAGAGTTGTACTAGTGGTGCCTAGTCATACTTGATAGAAATAATATGCATACGAGTCTCAGTCATATAAAGTTGCACAAATGGTTCACATAATTTAAAACAAAGACATAAATTACTCTTCACTACTATCAATCCCAAACCATTGAGCCCAGTGTCCACCTCTTCCTCTTCCTCTTCCACGATGTTCTCCAACTGATGGGAATCTTTTCTGTTGCGGTTTTCCTTTCTTTACTTCATATTCCGGAGGTAAGACTTCTTGTGCTTGTATCTCTTCAGGTACAACCCATTCAGACATATGAGGAACTGGATAGATTTTCCTGGAGTATGCCAATGCCCATAGCTCTACCAAATAATATTTGGAGCAAAACTCTTGTAGATGAAGTTCCCTATCTCTGGTCATATGGATAGCAGCAGCAATTGCATGCACACATGTGTATCTGTCTATATCAAAGTACTTGCAAGAACAAGTTTTCCTAGTCATATCAACAAAATAATTCTTCCCATCAAGCCCAATCACATTGTATTCATGGAGATAGCTGTTTAACTCTTGCACCATGAGTTTCTTTGCACCCACACATCTTAGATCCATTTCGTTCTCCACCAAAGGCACAAGCTTCTGTGACAGTGGGACTTCAGCGGCAGTCTGCCTATGGGTGTTCTACCATTCAGCCAATTTGGCAACAATTACATCAATCATTGGCAACAGCGAGTACTTTCTAGCATTTACAAAAACACCATTAATAGTTTCTACAGTATTGGTGGTATCTATGTTGTACATTTCTCCTGGAAAATAGCATCTTGCCCATTTTTTTTCATCAACACTTTTGTCTAGATACTCGACAGTAGATGGATATTCCATCCTAAAAGCACTATAGAGTTTTCCGAACTCAACCTCTGTATAAGCTTTAGCGCACTCGATGAACTTCTTCGCACATGCATCTATGTGGGTAGAAACGTGTCCTTTCATATTCTGTGACAAATGCCTTACACAATACCCATGTTGAGATAAAGGGAACACTTCCCTTATTGACTTGATCAAGCTTGGATTCCTATCCGAAATAAATACCATTCCAGGGACATCTGGTGTTACTGACTTCAACTGATTCAGAAACCACATCCAACTTGCATCTTTCTCACCATCAACTACACCAAAATCAATGGGATAATGATGATGATCAGGATCCTGAGCTGAAGCAACGATTAGAACTCCACCATATACGTTCTTCAGGTGGGTTCCATCTATAATGATGACTTTCCTCATCGATAGAAACCCTTATATGCAAGCTCCCAATGCAAAGAATAGGTACTTAAATCTTTTCTGCTCATCTAATTTCACACAAGTTCGTGTACCCGGATTCACTTTCTCTAGGACGTACAAATAAGAATATAGCCACCGATAACTATCCTCAGAACTTCCCCGCACCTCATTAGCAGCTTTGTTTTTTTTCCTCTCAGTGCTGTCGAGTACGATACTTTCACGCCAAGCCTGCCTTGAACCATATTGATCAGCGTTTTTGGATATGGTGTGTCGAATCGACCTGGATAGTCTTCAGCCAAAACAGCCGCAACTAAGTGTGGTGTGTCTTTCCTTTTTTGTCTGATTATACTTGTAGTAATCCGAGAGCATGTGTGCACCTTGTTGTAAGTGACAATAGTGAAACTATTTGAGTTCATACGCACAGAAGCTCTTAAACCCCACTTGCATACCTCTTTTGCTCCCCAACATTTTACCACGAAACGTGTGGGTTCAGACTTCTTCGTTTCATACTCAAAACCATTCTCATGTGCACCTTTCTGCAGGAGAGCTTGCAGTCCCTGCCTAGTGTCAAATTCTTGACCTTTATATATATCTAAACCATCTTCCCATCCATGATTTACTTGCGAGTTTCCATCAGAATGTCCGACTTCTGTATCATCATACACGAGCTCATATCTTTGTACAATGATCTGTATCATTTTCTTGCATCTCATTGTCTTGCATTTTATTGTCTTGCATTTCATTGTCCGGTATTTCTAAATCATCTCTAGCGGTAGAAAACAGCTCATCATTACTCGGACATACATCAACGTCAACTCCATGATCCTCTCTTGAAACATGCACGCTTCCATGACTTTGATCAACATCATTGATGAACTCCACATGTAGAACACTTCTACATTGATCTTTACTCATTTGTAGTAGATAACCAAAAACATTTTCGTCATTCCAAATATATGATGGTTTCTTCGTGTTCAAGACCAATGGATAGTAACTAATTTTCAGCTGAGATGTAGCTGTATCTATCAAAACCTTTCTGCAAATTCCCTCCACTAATCCAACATAAGTGACATCCTCCAAAGATTTTCTCATCACTAAAGTGTGAGTCTCATCTTCTACAGAATTCCATATAATTTTATAACCGTCTTTTGAATAGAATCCCCCATAATCAAAACATATGACTGTGCAACCACTGTTACTCATTTCCCCTGAAAAGAACAAAATAATCATAAGGTAATCTCATCATAGTTATACCAGTTTTACTAGTCGTACTAATTTACTTGAGATGTCCAGTTATGCTAGTTGTACCCAGTAGTACTCAAAAAGTTTGGTTCATCCTAGTCGTACTAATTCACTTAATATGTCCAGTTATGCTAGTAGTACCCAGTAGTACCCAGAAAGTTTGTTTCATCCTAGTCGTACTAAATTCACTTAATATGTCCAGTTATGCTAGTTGTACCCAGTAGTACGCAAAAATTTTGGTTGATCCTACTCGTACTAATATGTCCAGTTGTGCTAGTTGTACTCAGTAGTACCCAGAAAGTTTGGTTCATCATACGAATCACACTAGTTATTACGATTCATTGCTCAGTTAACCAAGATATCCCATTTAATTAACAATATCAGTTTCCAATAGCCTTACCCAACAAGCTCAATAGCTCCAATGAGCAAAAAAAAAAATCAAAATTTTCTTTACTATGAAATTCTCTAATTAAGAAGAAACTATGTATTAATTGTTTTGTCTATGACATAAACTTGATAATTCAATCATGAAATCGAAAGTAGTATAAGAAACAGCAACAACTAACCTTCAATTTCACGCCTCCGATTTCGTCAATGGTAGAAACGTGAGAGGAAGAAGATGATGTGAGAGGAAGAAGACGACAAGAGGAGCAATAGAATTAAATTTTGGTTGGTTTGATTGGTTTAGAGAATTAAATTGTAGGATTGGTTTCAATTAAATTTCCTACCAAACCGCTGCTGCTTTTTCGGTTTTTTTTTAATGAAGGATAAAATCAGCAATTCCATGGTGAGAAGGGCAGTCAGATTTGTAAGGGGCAGTTAGAGTTCTCCTTGCGGGGGGGGGGGGGGGGGGGGGGGGGGGGGGGGGGGGGGGGGGGGGGGGGGGGGGGGGGGTATTTGAGATTAAAATCCGTTAAAAGTTTTGTTGAGAGATT